GCCTTCTTTGTGGGTCAGCGTGGGCACTTTGGTGACCTGGTGCTGGGCAGCCCTGGGCAGTGACTTCCCCTCTCTGGGCCTCGGTGTTTGGTTAGGGAAACAGGAAGGAAGAGGATTCTCCCCGCACCCACTCCCCCACCCCTGTTGGGAGGGCTCAGGGTGGCCTGGTCTGTGTGCCCGGCCCCTCCATCTGCTCAGGCACCAAAAAGGAACGGCCTGCCCTAGGTGCTGGGATCGAGCCGTAACCAACTGAAACATTGTTCCTGCCTGCGCCGAGCCACTGACTTCGCGGGAAACACTCATCACCGGGTAACGAGTTAGGTGATGCAAAGGGCCGGGAGAGCGCAGACCTGCCGAGCCAGGCACTGGGGATGCGGTGATGGGCAAGACCGGACCCGGTCCCCGCCCCCGTGGTGCGCTTGCTGCGGCTGGTACGGAAAATAGTGTCAGTCCTCAGCAAGTCCTGTCATCTTGGCCGTTAAAGCATGCCCAGAGCCTGCCCGCTTCTCCTGCCCACCCCTGGGCCGTCACGTCCTCTACCTCCCTGGGCTCCACGTGGCCACAGGGAGCCTGTTGACGCCTGAGTCAGGCCACGTCCCTCCCCTGCTTGGAGTCCTTGTGTGGCTCCACCTCACTCTGGGGAAAGGACAGAGTTGTCCCCGTGGCCCACAAGTCCCTACGCGATCTGCCCCCACCACCCCCGCCACTTGGCCTCCTCTGCTGTGACCACATCAAGCATGTCCCCACCTGGGGACATTTGCCCTGACTCTTCCCTGCTGCCAGGTGTCCGCGTGGTTCCCTCGCCCCTCCCCCACCCCGGGGTCCCTGCTCAAGGGTCACCTTCCCAGCCAGGCCCTCCCCGACTACTTCACTGAAACCTTCCAGCTTCCCCTGCCCCTCAGCACTCTCTTGATCCTTGCTTTGTGTATGTCCTCAGCATTTATCCTCTGACTTACTAGATATTCTTCTGATTTAGCTCATTTATCAACTGTCTCCTTTCCCCTAGAACGTGAGCTCTGTCCACAGGGCTGGGATGCTTCTGGCCATTCTGACAACCACTAGGAGTCCCAGCCCTGGCCTGGCGGAAATCAGCCCTCAGTAGCCATGGACTGTGGGCAGGTGCGGGAGTGTGAGGGGGTCCTTTGGGAGTAGAGTAGGTGCTTGCCAAGGAAGGGGCTCAGGCACGTGTCAGGCCCAAAGCTCGTGGTGGTCAAGGTCCCTGGGGATTCCTTGGAGGAATTAGGCTCAGGACAGGGGGGCTGGGAGAGAGATGTGGACTGGGGAGGGTGGGGGGCTGTACAGGTGGGCACACGAGAGCTGAGCAAAGGTGTGGAGGTGGGACGGGTGTGAGGGGTTAAGGGAGGCAGTGAGGATTCTGCTGGGGGCCGGAAAAGTAGGCTGGACTCCCCCTCCTTTTTCAGAACACAGCCGGGGGCAACTGGGTAAACTGAGGTGGGAAGGGGCTTGCCAGAGCTAGTAGGTAAAAGTCTTGGCGGGGGGCGCCTGGGTGGCTCAGTCGGTTAAGCGTCTGCCTTCGGCACAGGTCATGATCCCAGGATCCTGGGATCGAGTCCCACGAAGGGCTCCCTGCTCAGACGGGGGTCTGCTTCTCCCTCTCCCTACTGCTTGTGCGCTGTCTCACTATCTCGCTTTCTCAAATAAATAATATCTTTAAAAAATAAGTAAGTGAGTCTTGGTAGAAGGTTGAGTGGGAGGCAGCGGTGGCAGCCCCAGTGCCGGCTGGGGACACGGAGCCTTCCTTCATGGTCCTCTTACTGATGTAGGGTTTCATTTTGGAGACCATGATCGGGATCGTGGCACATCCCCTGCTCTTTCCTGGGCCCCTGGGTTCCCTCTCGGTCAGCTCCCCAAACTGCAGGGGAGCAACTTGATTCAGAGCCTGGGGGGGAGGGAAGGGGACGGGAGGGAAGGAGTTTTTCACATGCATGCACGCGTGTTTGCACACGCACGTGCACACGTACACACGCACACACACTCCCTGGATGGCTTTGTCACACAAATGGATCTTGCTCTACCACCAGAGCTGATTTCCTTGGTGGGGGGAGTTAGGGGTGGGGTGGGGTGGGATGGGTGGGTATCATTTTCTTCCCATGAAAGCTCAGAGGGTAGAACCAGCGAATGCAGGGGTGACTAGAAACTTGGAAGCTTTGGCAAGGACAGGCTGGAAACTGCCTGTCCCACATGTCGAATAATTCAAAAGCCTTTTTTTCATTGCAATGAACATTTGAGAGTAGGATGCAAAATGTGCCTGCGTTCGTGGGATCAGATGCTGGACTTCAGAGGCATCTGTGGCCTGGCTGGTGGCCGGTGGCCACCGTTCCCTCTGTCTGAGGTTGCTGCTTCACCCTCTCCTGGAGTTTCCCAAGGACCGCCTCGGCAGAATCAGAGGTGTCTGAGCAGGGGTGTAGCGTAGTGGGTAGAGCTGAGTCAGTTCATTCACCAGAGGTTCCTTGGGTGCCTAGTGGGGGCTGGGCTGTGTTGTAGACAGTGGGGTACAGCGGGGAGCAAGGCGAATGACAGATGCAAAGGGAAAGGCGTAGAGGGGGACAGGACAGGAGCAGGGCTATTTGAGGACAGACGTGCATAGAGGGAAGGGGGGAGGGAGCCATATGCAGATCAGTGAGAATGAAGTTCCAGCAGGTGGGGTGACAACCGGTGCAAAGGCCCTGAGGTGGGGGACATGTCTAGGGTTTGAAGAGCAGCAAGGAGGCCCATGTGGCTGGGGCAGAACGAGCAAGGGGGCAGAGGTGATAGGCAGATAGTATGGGCTACAGGGACAGGTCTCAGGGGCCAGCAGAAGGTTTAAGGAGTTCGATGTTGTAGTGGATCCACCTGTTTTCTGCTTGGTAGCCTGAGCAAGAGATTTCACCTTTGTGGTCCTCAGTTTCCACATCTGTAAGATGGGAATGAGAAACATGCTCCCCCCAGGTCGTCACGGGAGTCCGTGAGCTGAGCATCTGCATCTGGGCAGGGTTGTGGGGGCCAGGGTGGTGGTGGTGATGTCAGTACCAGGGCTGAGCCTCAGAAGGGCACGTTCGGTGGTGGGGACTGGCGTGTGGCCGTCTTTGCCCTGCAGATTGTCTTGCCAAAGGGGGACAGGAACCCCCACTCTGTGCTGCCTCCCACTACCCCTGGGGGGCTGGGACAGGTCAGATAGGAGGTGGGGACCGTCAGCCCCAGGAGAGGTTGGGGCAGGACCAGAAGGGCAGGATGTGACTCCGCTCAGAACCCCAGGAAGCACGTTCTGCCATTATCCTCTTTAACAGAGGAGGAAACTGAGGCACAGGGTGGCCGAGCCGCGGGCCCCCGGCCGCACGGTGAGCTGCCAAGGTGGCTTGGCTCCCAAGTACAGAAGGTGAGGTGGCCTAGGGCACAGCAGCCAGACTCCTAGGTTCCAAGCTCGCTGGGGAGCCCCCGCAGCCCCCCTCGCCCACCGCCGCGCTCCTGGCACTGGCCCGTAGCTTTGTTGCAGCAACTCCTCCGCCTTCCCTTCTGTGGCCCCCGTAAGGTCAGGAGCCTGGGGACTTGGGGGGGCTGGGAGCTGCCCCAGGGTGGAGCTGAGGCCTGCTCACTATAAACGTGGTCAGTTCCTCTGTTTGTCCCTCCCTCCGTGCGGTGCCCAGAGGGAAGGGGTGGCCCCAGGCAAATATCCGGAGGTGTGTCCCTCCATCCCCTTCCCCTGCAGGGTCACACGCACGTGGGGCAGGACTCACGGGGCGCTGGGTGCAGTGTGCAGAGGCAGCTTGGGGTTTACAGGGGTGAGGGCTTTGAGGAGGCAGTCTGCCTCCCGCCCACCCCTTCTTGGTGCTGAGCTCCTCCCACCACAGGGCCTGCCCCGCCCCTCCCTCTCCTGGGTTTAGTGAGGGGTCACGTGGCTCATCCTGCTCTCGGGAGTGACTTGGTGCCTCGGGCTGTGGGCTGCTGGGTGGAGGATGGGTAGGGCCGAGTGAGAGAGGCCAAGGTGAGGGGTGAGGCCGGGCCTGGGGCCAGGTGGGGGCACCTCTGGGAACACAGCGAGGAGGTGGAGGCGAAGCTCTGGGGTGACAGTGGGGAGGATGGGGGAAGGTCCGGCTGTGGGGACAAGGCGAGGACTGGTGCTAGAAAGGCAGACGACTGAGGGCAGAGAGGCTGGGGAGCCAGAACGGGGTGGGTGGGGGCCGGGGTGGGTGGGGGCCGGGGATGGAAGTCGAGGTGGGAGGGATGGGCAGCATTCAGCAGGCTGGAATGGGGGAAGACATTAAAGGGGGCAGAGAAGGGGCAGGGGTAAAGGGGCCTCCATCCTGGCCAAGGCTGTCACACCCCACATCCGGGCAGCCAGGGGCCCCGGAGCAATAGGGAGACTGAACCTGCTGGGGGGCAGCCCTGGCCAGACCTGGCTCTGGCCAACTGCTGCCCAGGAGGCCCCGACCAGTTGAAACAGGTTGTCTGCTGGGTCCCCTCCCCCTCCCAACTGGGCTCTGCTGCCAAACCGGTTCTCCTAGATGGCTGCCCACTGATGGTCCTACCTCTGGGCTAGGGGTGTCTGCCTCTTCGCCTGACCTCACAGAGCTGCTCCCGCTGGAAAGGAACAGGGAGGGAGGAGAGCCCGGGGCTGGAGGGCAGCATCCCAGACATGCTGGAGAGCGTCCTCAGTAGGTCACAAGACTTCACTTTGCTTGGGGCCCGACCCTGTGCTGGGCACCGTGCCAGGCTCTGGGGAGCCAGCGTGAAGCAGACAAAGATCCCAGCCCGGTGCCTTTCCCCTCATCCTCTGGGTCTCAGCTCACACAGCCTGTCTTCTGGGAAGCCTCCCCTGACCCCCACCCTACCATCCCTCAGACTGGGTCTGGTCCTCCCTGAGCCCAGCCCCGACCACCCTGGGCTGTCGGCAGTCTCGGTCACCACTGTGTCCCGAGCATCAGCCAGCACAGGGCTGGGCACAGAGGAGTGAGTTATTAGCAAATGAACGCATGTGTGAATATTTTCTTCCCATTTTCCAGATGAGTCACTCGAGGCCCCAAGAGGAGACGTCACCTGCCCGAGGGCACTTCTAGCACAGCCAGCATCAAACCAGGTCTGTGGGACTCCGGGGCCCAGCTGTGGGGCGGACTCGGGGCCCCTGCTCCCTCAGACACTGCTGGGAGGACTCCTGATCATCAGAGTCACAGACGTGGACAAGGGCCCTCACTCCCTGCCCTGCTCTGCTCCTGTTAACTCAGTTAATCCTCAGAGCAGCCCTGTGAGGGCGAGAGAGGTTACGTCACTCGTCCCCGGTCCCACAGAGTAAGTGGCAGAGAGAGATTTGTGCTCTGGCCATTTGACTTCCCTTCCCCTCAGCGCCCTGGTCTCCCTGTGGGACACCCCACAGCGCAGCTCCCCTGCGGCCCTTTTGGTTTTAAAACTGGCTTTCATTAAGCATTTACATGGTGCCTGGTACCGTCTGGAGTATCCACCTGGAGACCACAGACCCTAAAGATGGGGGATGTTTTGTCTGTTAGTATCTGCTACGCAGTGGAACTTTCCCCACTCTGTGAGCTTGGTGAGGAACTCCCTTCTCGGAGCCTCAGTCTCTTCATCTATAAAGTGGGAGTGTTGCAGTGAGGCTCCCAGGGGCCATGCATAGGACAGGGACTATGGAAGCAATTGTTGAACAATTGCTCGGTCACTGAGCCCGGGCTACAGGCCAGGCACTGTGCTGGGGCTGGGGTAGGACACGGGCACACTGGGCAGATGAGACCTGGCCTTTGGTGCTGATAATCTAGGGGTGGGGGTGTGGGGGGGGTATAGACACCCAACTGGTAAATACAAGAATGAACAGCAGAATTTCCAGAAGTTAAATGTGCCGTGAAGCTTTGTGACAGAAGGCTAGTGGTGCACCTCCTTCACTTGGGGTGGTCAGGAAAAGGATTCACCAACAACTCGGAGACCCGAAGGAAGGGAAGGAGGGAGCCATGTGTGGATGCTGGGGAAGAGTGTTCTATGAGGAGGGGCCACAGGGAGGACTCGGCTGAGGGTTCTGAGCTGGGGACAGTGATCACGGGGTCCCTCGGGCTGCCTGTGGAGGACGGGAGACCAAGGAGGAGACGAGGAGGGACAGGACCAGGGCAGGGCCCGAGGAGCCGAGAGAAATGGGCAGGTTCTAGCGAGCGGCCCCCTCCCGCAGGCCTGCTGCTAGGAGCCCAAGTCTGCGCCCTCGTGGTGCTGAGAGCCTCAGCACCATGTTTGGGAAGAAGAAGAAGCGGGTCGAGATCTCCGCGCCCTCCAACTTCGAGCACCGCGTGCACACGGGCTTCGACCAGCACGAGCAGAAGTTCACGGGGCTGCCTCGCCAGTGGCAGAGCCTGATCGAGGAGTCGGCTCGCCGGCCCAAGCCCCTCGTGGACCCCGCCTGCATCACCTCCATCCAGCCCGGGGCCCCCAAGGTATGCCGGCGCCTACCATTCCCTCTCCAGCACCACACTGACCCCACACAGCGCCCCCAGCGCTTAACCCAACGCTTGACCCTGGGGCCAATGCCTCCTTGCTGACTGCCAGACGGACACCCCAACCCTCTACCCTAATCTTCGCCCCCCAGTGCTGACCTTTCACTCCTCCACCCACCAATCCCTCCCCATACCTCTCAATACTGATTCCGACCTTGGCCCCTGCAGCAGCCCTCCACCCCAGCCTCCAAGTCGTCCTCCTCTCCTTGGGCTCCGTGTCCCCGTCCCCAGTACCAAAAACTTGTACTTGAGCAAGGGGACAGACCCCCATGGTCAGGGCAGGGCTGGGGGCACCCAGAGGAGCTGCTGACCAGGTCCCTGGAGTCTGGGCCAGCTTTGTGGAGGAGGGGACACCTGAGCTGAGCCCCGAGGACTGAGGAGGAGTCCCTGTGGCAGATGGAGAGGAGGCGGGGCTTATAGCTGAGGAAACAGTCCATGGGAAGCCTTGGAGGCTTTTTGGTTTGGGGGTGGTTTTCCTGCCATCTCGAGCAAAAGGGTGGCGTTGGGATTTGACCCATGGTCTGTTTCCACGGCCCAGGCTCTTAACCCCTTGGCCATCTGCACGGTCCCGGCGCCCAGGCGGGGCGCAGTGAGGCTGGCCCGGTGGCAGGGCGTGAGCCCGCCCAGCCTGGAAAGCCAGCCTCGGAGGCTGGACTTCACCCCAAGAGCAGCGGGAACCAGGAAGGGCCGGGGGCCAGGGGCACGCAGCCAGGGTTGTTCCGGGGCTGGCGATGGGTGTGCCGGTCAGCAGGCCCCGCGCCTGGGGGCAGGCCCATGGCTGGCTCGTCCTCTCCCGAGGCCGTCCTCCGGGATCAGCACGGTGGGCGCCGGCTCACCGGGTCGGCCTCCATCCGCGGCCCGTCGAGGTGTCCGTGTGTCTCACGCAGGCCTTTTGAGTACTTTGAATTCTGCCACCGCTTGAAACCGCAGAGACTTCACATCCAAACTGTATTTCTGGCTTCTGCTGACTAATCCGCAGGGGCTGAGGGGGTGGCGGCCTCCGCGGGACGGGGCGCTGGCTCCTCTGGGCCCCCACCCCGCCCGCCTCGGTCCCATCCCCCGGCTGGCCCCGGGACTGCTATGGCCTCACTAGGGGACCGGGGACCCCCGAAAATCTAGCCCCTGCTCGGCTTGCCAGCTGTAAGCCCTGCTTGGGGCTGTGTCTGCCAGGAGGGGGCACCTTGTCCTGATTCACACGAAGGTGCCACAGGGGCTAGTGCTGTCTTGGGGCCCCTATGGGGGGCCCCTGTGTTTGCCACCCTTGGCCGGGACTCTCCCCTTAGCCGGGTCTTCCCAGGCGCTCCCCCAGACTTCTCGGCCTCTTATTCCCGCACGAGGGTCTGAGCAGGTGGTTCCCTTGCTTCACTGGGCACCTGGGCAAGGAGGCAGCCAGGCCCAAGAGAGGCAGGGGGGTGGGGGGGAGACCGGGGCAGGCCCACAGGGGCACTGCAGCCTGGAGGTGGGTTTTGTGCACAGTAGAGGCAGTTCTGGCTTGAGGATGTGTGGCAGCCCTGGGCCCACGTCCCTGCAGGCCAGTGAGTGAGAGCAGAGGGACAGGGCTGCATATTCTGCTCCCCGCAGCCTCCTCCCGGCCCGCCTCCCTCCCTCACGGGCTCAGCCAGTGTTTCTTGAGCACTCTCTGCATACGTACCAGACACTGTCCTAGGTGCTGAGATGTAGCAAGAGCAGAAGAACAGGCAAATACAATAGCTGCCTTCGTGAACATTGCACGGGGCGCAGGCAATGGTCAGCTTACGCGTGCTTCACGGCAGCTGGTTTCCAGTGCTCCAGAGAAAGAGAAGACAGAGAAGGGGACTAGGGAGTGTTAGGGGCTGGCATTTAGACTCTGGGGGGTCAACGAGAGCTTCCCTCTGAGAAGCTGAGGTCGGGCAAAGGCCTGAAAGAGGAAAGGCGGGACGGAGCTGTGGGCATACTTGGGGAAGATGTTCTAGGAAGGGCGAACAGCCAGTGCAAAGGTCCTGAGGTGGGCATGTGCCTGGTATGTTGGAGGAGCAGTGAGGAAGCCTGTGTAGGAGCCTGGAGCTGAGTAGGGGGCCGGGGGATCCCTGGGGGCCTTGACTCAGTACTCGAGGGAGGAGGTGGCTGTGACTTGGATCAGGGTGGTAGACTTGGCAGGTGAAGCTTGGGTGGACTCAGGACACATGTTACATCCACCAGGCCCCGTGGGAATTCACATTTGCCACCGCTGCTCCTGGACTTCGGGCCCCGCCCTTTCTAACTCTCCCCGTACTTCACCCTCGGCTTCCCAGGAAAACAGAGCTTGGGTTTGGGGTTAACCGCCCCGGCGGGGTGCAGGGAAAGAAGTCCAAGCCGTACCCGGGCCCCAGCATCCTGTCCATTTGCAGCTCTCCAGGGCTGATTATGGGGTGGCGTGGGCTCTGTGCTCCTTCCCCTCCTGCCCACAGTGTGGAGAGCTGCGCCCAGCCTGGAGAATAGGAGAAAGACGGGGTGCTCCTCAGGGAGGGGCCAGCCAGCCCAGGGGCCACAGCCTGACCCGTGGGGGGTTACTCCTTTGGCTTTCTTCCTGCGCCAGACCTCTCGGGGGTGTGGGAGGGGCTGCAGGGGCCCCCCCTGGTGCCGCCCCCACCTGCCCAGCCCCATCATCACCTCATGGCATTGCTTCATTCCGTCTCTGTCTTGTCTCTTTGTGTGTGTTGTGTTGTCCTGTCCTTGTGTGTCGGATACGCGTCCCGTGTCCTCCTCTTCCTTTCCCGGCCCCCATCCCGCCATTGCCCTGGACCCCAGACCATCGTGCGGGGCAGCAAAGGTGCCAAGGATGGGGCCCTCACGCTGCTGCTCGACGAGTTCGAGAACATGTCGGTGACACGCTCCAACTCCCTGCGGAGAGACAGCCCACCGCCACCTGCCCGTGCCCGCCAGGAAAATGGGATGCCCGCAGAGCCGGCCAGCTCGGCCAGAGGGGCCCCCGAGAAAGCGGGCAGCCAAGGCCGGGGCGCCAGTCGCAGCGAGGCGCGTGGCAGCAGTGGAGACAGGCGGCGGGGGGGGCCAGAGAAGAGGCCCAAGTCTTCCAGGGAGGGCTCAGGGGGACCCCAGGAGTCCTCCCGGGACAAACGCCCCCTCTCTGGGCCTGACGTCGGCACCCCCCAGCCCGCCGGTCTGGCCGGTGGGGCCAAAGCGGCAGCTGGTCGGCCCTTTAACACATACCCGAGGGCCGATACGGACCACCCGGCCCGGGGTGCCCAGGTAACCAATCCCCCTGCCCCAGGACCTTCCACCGCCCTTTTGTCCAGAACGTCCCCCCACCCTGTTCCCTGCCCACCAGCACCAGCCTCTGCCCAGCCCACTGTCCATCTCCATCCTGACCACCATGTGTCTGTCCCACGGCCAGGGCCCCTGTCCCGCGCAGGGAGCAGAGCTGGGCACCCCCCCCGCCCCTCCACTGACAGCTGCCTCTCTTTTCTATTGCAGGGGGAGTCTCACAGCCTGGCCCCCAACGGGCCATCGGCAGGGGGCCTGGCGGTCCCCCAGTCCTCCTCCTCCCGGCCTCCTGCCCGAGCCCGCGAACCCCCCAGCCCGGGAGTGCTGGGCCCCCATGCCTCTGAGCCCCAGCTGGCTCCTCCAGCCCGCCCCGTCGCTGCCCCCCGCCCCCGCCGGGCACCCGGCCCCCGGGCCCCCCGGGCCCCGCTCGCCACAGCGGGAGCCGCAGCGCGTGTCACACGAGCAGTTCCGGGCTGCCTTGCAGCTGGTGGTGGACCCCGGGGACCCTCGCTCCTATCTGGACAACTTCATCAAGATCGGCGAGGGCTCCACGGGCATCGTGTGCATTGCCACGGTGCGCAGCTCGGGCAGGCTGGTGGCCGTCAAGAAGATGGACCTGCGCAAGCAGCAGAGGCGTGAGCTGCTCTTCAACGAGGTGGGCCGTGGGCCCCTCCCGTGCCCTCCCGTGCCCACCTTCACCCTCACCCTCATGCCCTCCAGCAGCTGGTTTTGAGGCCCATGCTGGTCCAGGGCCTGTAGGGGTGAGGAAGGGAGAAGGCCATTCAGCGCTGGGGTCCCCAGGGCTGGGTTTGGGCCTGTCTTCTCTCCTTACTCCTCACACCTCCCTGGGGAGTCACCCCCCACCCCCCGCCCCGGTACCCACCACTGCCTCCCCAAAGCCCCGGCTTCAGGCCCCCTCAGCTCCACCCTCGCGTGACTTCTGGGCCCATCACACTCACCGAGTCCCAAACTGGTCCCCAGAGTCTCTCCCCAAGCCCTGCCCCTCCCCTGCTTCCTTTTACCCCACCCCAGCCCGGTAGCCGCTGTGCAGCCCCATCCTCTCCCGCTCGGCTCCACCCTGGCTTCCCCTCTTGGGCACCCCCTGGGCATTCCCCACACAGCAGCTAAAGGGCTCTTTGGGACATGCAGGCCTGCCACGCTGCCCCCCGCTTTACTGACCCTTGCAGTTCCCCTACCCCACCCTTCTGTGTCCTCAGGATAAAGGCCTGGCCTCTGCCAGGCATTTGAGGTCTGGCTCCCATCTAGGTTCTTGGTTGCGTCCAGCCTCTGTTTGGGGTTCTTGGTGGCGTCTGCTAGGGAGTTTGTTACAAAGGCAGACTCCTGGCTCTTTCCCCGGAGGAATCCATGCTGGGAGCAGCCCCCAGACTCTGATGCAGGAGTCCTGGGATGTCAGGCCTGGAGGTGGTCTAAACTGTGCCTCCTCCTCCCGGTCTCTCAGCTGTCCCCATAACCCATCCTCCGGCCCCCCAATCTCACCATGCTCCAGCTGCACCATGAGCCCTTCAGCGGAACCCCTGCAAGTATCCTGTTCCCAGCTCCCCCAGGCTTTACCCTGCCAGGCCTTCTTGTCCCTGAATCCATCCCCCCAGCCTGTTATTCTGCCCCTGGCTGGTACCTGCTTGTCCCGCAGCCTCAACCCCGTGATTAGACATTCTCTTCCGCGCCCCTCTCCCCACATCAGCCCGGTCAGCAGGGCCACTCGGAGACCAGTTCAGGATAGGGACGGGGGGGAACGCACCCCCCACAATGCAGGCATCAGGCCTCAAGCTGCCTTTGGGGTCTCCTGGCTTTGGCACAGGGGAGGGCCGTCCAGGACGAGCCCAGTGAGCGGGAGTGACAGGTGGGCCGGGGCCTGTGGCGCGGCAGGGCCCAGACCTGGGCAGGAGGAGAGGCAGGAGGCTGGCTGGTGGCCGGGTTCGATGCAGGGGCTGGCGGCGCTGACCCAGCCCGGTGCCCAGGTGGTGATCATGCGGGACTACCAGCACGAGAACGTGGTGGAGATGTACAACAGCTACCTGGTCGGGGATGAGCTCTGGGTGGTCATGGAGTTCTTGGAGGGTGGCGCCCTCACTGACATCGTCACTCACACCAGGTACCGGCGGGCCCCCGGCGGGCCCCCAGCCCACTGCCTCCCCAGGCTCTCCGGGGCCACCACGCGTCCCCTCAGACCTCTCCCATGGCAGGGTGGAGTCCCCTCAGACCCTTTGTGGTGGGGGCCGCGTCCCAGGGCCGGGAGGGCAGCATCCCCCTTGAACCCCTGGGCGGGGCCGCGTCTGCCCGGTTGCTGACCCCCAGCCTGCGCAGGATGAACGAGGAGCAGATTGCCGCCGTGTGCCTGGCTGTGCTGCAGGCCCTGTCCGTGCTCCATGCGCAGGGCGTCATCCACCGCGACATCAAGAGCGACTCCATTCTGCTGACCCACGATGGCAGGGTGAGGAGCGGGCTGGCTTGGGCTCCCCCTGCCTCTCCCCAGCTCCCCTCTATCCCTGACCCCCCTCCCCCCCTGCCCGGTCGGCGGCTTGCTCCTCAGGCAACAGCCCAGAGTCGGGCCCAGTCAGTGGGGGGCTCTGTGCATGCGGTCACAGGGGCCCCTGGCTGATGGAGGCTCCGCCTTTGGCACAGGATGCCAGGAGCTGTAGTCCAGCACTGGGCTCAGGGAGGCCCGGAGGCATCTGGGTGGCCGGCCTCGGCTCTTCCTCCACTGAAACGCTTTTGCTAGCCGAGCACACGGCGGTGGGCCGTGGACCCTGCTCTTATGTCTCACCCTCCAGACTGAGGCTCTCTGAAGCCCATGGATGAGCCTCCCAGTGCCCAGAACATGCATTTATATTCCAAGAGTGGACGCGATTTTCAGCGGGAGGGGGTCCTTAACTGTCCCCAAACTCTCGTTGGTGATTTGCCTGCCCTCCGCCAGGGAAGTTAAGCCATTCAGTAGAGAGAGGGGTCGGGGTGGGCTCTCTTTCACTGGGAGTCTCAGTTGGAGTCCGTGAACACCTAAAGCTGCCCACAGATGTGTTTGGGGGACACCTGTGAGCCTGAAATTGTGTGCATGCCATGTGCATATGTTTCCTAGGGGTGAGAAGATCCGTAAGTATCCTCAGGAATCGGAAAGGGGCCCATGGCTCCCCAGCAGGTGGAAATGCGTGGTTCTGGGCACGTGGTTGCTGGCAGAGTAGGCCACACCTCTCGTACCCTCGGGGACGCAAGGGCCCAGGGCACAGGCTTTGGGAGCCAGCTGGGGTCTCACCCACCCCCACCCCCAGCGCAGCATTTGGAACCTGTAGGACTCAGGCCACTTCCCCCCAGAGACCCCAGGGCAGATCTCTGGGAGGTGACGCACCGGAGGGCCCCCTGCTGGGAGGAGATGGAGCGACCCTGTGGTCAGGCTCTGACCTCTAGGTGGCCTCGTGGAGCCCCAGCACGTCCGAGGCCAGGGAATTGAGTACCTGGACACCTCTGCTCCCCCTCCTACCTGCAGCACCTCTGACCCCCACTGCCCGTGCCCCGCTGCAGGTGAAGCTGTCGGACTTCGGGTTCTGCGCCCAGGTGAGCAAGGAGGTACCACGGAGGAAGTCACTGGTCGGCACGCCCTACTGGATGGCCCCTGAGCTCATCTCTCGCCTCCCCTATGGGCCAGAGGTAAGCCAGCGGTGGCCTGCTTGTCCCACTTTGGGCACCGGTTTACACTGTGACTGCTGGAACAGCGGGAGTGCGGGGGGTGGAGTGGGGCTCAGCGTGGGAGATGGGTCACCGGGGATGGTTTTGTGGGAGAGGGGGTAGGCACGCATGCAAGTGTCCATCCCTGATGAGCCCGGCCGGGTGCTGTGATGAAACCCGCCAAAACGGCTTCAGCGAAACACGAAAGCTTTAGGTCCCAAGAACTATGGTGTTAGGGGTGGGTGACAGGCTTCAGGCCCAGCTGTCCCTGTGCTCGGTCCCTCCTCAGCCCTGACTTTGTCCGTGTAGGTCTTCACCCAGGCAGGCGCTCCCCTCGTCGGGGCAGAGCTGGCCGGGTGACTCTGGGACGTCCCCCTGCCTATGAGTGCCTGGGGTTTTCCTCGGTATTTCCTTAAAGTCTTCGGGTTGGCTCTGATTGGCTCAGCTCAGGTCACGTGCCTGCTCATGAACCAATTACTGTGTCCCAGCGATGCAGATTAGACAACTGGTCACCGAGCCCTCGGGGCTCCCTAGAGCGAGGGAGGGAGGGTGCTGTGTGGGCAGAACCCTTCAGAGGGCTCCCTGGGGGAGGAGCGTGTGGGTCTAGCAAGCTGGGTGTCAGAGGGGGTGTTCGGGGCCCGAGGACTCCAGGAGCAAGGACGCAAAGGCAGAACCAGGGGCCACCGCTCCGTGGCTTCCCCCAGCACTGGCCCGTCTGGGCACAGCTCAGCCCTCCTGGCCCTTCCCCCCTGCAGGTGGACATCTGGTCTCTGGGGGTGATGGTGATTGAGATGGTGGACGGGGAGCCCCCCTACTTCAACGAGCCACCCCTCAAAGCCATGAAGATGATTCGGGACAACCTGCCACCCCGACTGAAAAACCTGCATAAGGTGGGCCCCGGCCGGCAGGCAGGGGGTGTGAGGGAGGTGACACTTCCTCTGCGTTGGGCTCCCTGGCCCCTCCGCCGCGGGTCCCCTGAGCCCAGTGGTTGTGCTTAGGCCGGCTGGCTGAACACACACAGCAGAGCCAGGCCTAGGAGAGGAGCCTTCCTGGTAGATGAATCACCCGGTGAGAGAAGGGTGCCTCCAGGGCCCAGCCCCTGTTGCCTCCTTGCAAAGCTTTAAAATGGAGAAGAAATGAGCCCTTGGGGTCCTTGGATGTGTTGCTACCCTTGGGGCCAAACTCTAGACACCTGGGCCCTCCTGGCCCCCTCCCTGGGCAGTGAGTGTTGTCAGCCCATTTAACAGAGGAGAAAACTGAGGCCCAATGGCCAGTGAGCATTGGAGTTGGCACTCAGACCTCCCTGTCTCTCTCCCCCACCTCCTGACAGGTGTCACCCTCCCTGAAGGGCTTCCTGGACCGCCTGCTGGTGCGTGACCCGACCCAGCGGGCCACGGCGGCTGAGCTGCTGAAGCACCCGTTCCTGGCCAAAGCGGGCCCGCCCGCCAGCATCGTACCCCTCATGCGCCAGAACCGCACTAGATGAGGCCCAGTGCCCTGTCCCTGAACCAAAGAAAGAGCCCCTTGGGTCACCCCTGCCCGCCACGGGCCAGTCGGGGGCCGGCCCCCACTCCTCCCTGCCTGGGAGACACTCCATGTGGCGCCACCCTCCTTGCGGGGGGTGGGGGAGCGTGCAGGACCCTACTACTGAACTCCAGGTTTGATTTTGTGACTTGTAAAAAAAAAACACAGGGACTTGTGGGAGCAAGTGAGGGTCCCCAGCCTCCCCACCCTCCGGGACAGTCCCTTCCTGTGTCTTCCTGTCTTCCAGGAAGGACAGGCGGCCCCCCAGTCACTGGAAATCATCTGCAGCGGGGGCTGCTGTGGGTGGAGAGAACACTACAAAAGGCGTGTGTGTGTGTGTGTTGTGTGTGTGCACGCGCCCGTGCAGAAGGTCCAGCTGCTCTGTCCTCCAGCCTGCAAGAGGGTGTCTCTGAGGCCTGCCTGACATACAGCGCAGCCCCCTGGCCCCCCTGAGCCATTGCGGGGGTCGATCATGAATGTCTGAAGAGTGGCCTTTTCCCCAAGTCCTGCATCCCCTTTCTGTGGCTGGCTGGGGAGACGGGGGTCGGGGCTTCCCGCCCATCCCCAGCCTCTGCAGATGACTACTGCACCTGGACAGCCTCCTCTTTTCTAGAAGTCTATTTATATTGTCATTTTATAACACTCTAGCCCCTGTCCTGACCCGGGGACAGATGGGTCTCTGCCCCGTGGGGCGGCACCAGGGACAGAACCACCGCTCGAAGAATCAGGTTCCCAGCCCCTTGGTGCGGCCCCACCCCCCTCCCCTCCCTTCCCTCAAGTTAGTTTTACAATTAAAACGTTTTCTTGTTTTGTGTGTGTGTGTGTATGTGTGTGTGTGGTGTGTAGAAGCCCCTCTCCAGGCCATCTTGGTGTGGGATTGGGGGGAGGGACCTGACGGAGAGAGGGTGGCCTGGTGAACCCCAGGATTCCAGCCCATCTTAGGGCAAGGGCCATGTCTGTGGGGGATGGGGAGGCCCCAGGTCGAAACAGCCAGTAAGGCCCCCCTGACGTGGTATCCAGACTCGCCCACCCCCTGGCCTGCAAACATCAGTCCACCAGAGTCCGTGTGCTGCGATGCCCAGTTTGCCAAATCTGAGATTTGCCGGAATCTTGTTTTAAAGGTTGTTTGTCTTGAGCGTGTTGGGTGGGTAGGAATGATCCTTGATGAGCTGATGTTAGTAAATGGGCCGTTCAGAAAATCGGTCTGTGGGCAGGTGGGCTTTTGAGGACTCGGCTAAGGCGGATGGATCTGGAACAGCCAGCTTTAGGGATACTCCACTGGCCAGAACCCTCCCTCTAAATCAGGGTCCCGGGGTGCCGAGCCTGGGTCTCCATGAGCGGAGAAAGGAATTGGCTGGCATCCATTGGGCAGCGCTGTGTTCTGGCCACTGACCACCCCAGGCTGGTGTGAGCTTGGACTATGTGCGTCTTCCCCAGTACCCGAGAGGTGGGGGGGGGGAGCAGGCCCCTGGGGAGAGCTGCAGCGTGAGCAGTGAACCCCACCGCCACTGGCCCCAGGAACCTCAGCCTGGCTTGTGGGCAGGAAAAGTGTGGAGATTCTGGCTTGGGCTGTACCTCCTGCCCCCGCCCCAGAGCACGCCTCTCCACAGGCCCTGAGCTCCCCAAGGCTGGAGTGCCATGTCTGTGCCCGGGGCTGGCCACGAACAGGCACCCTGTAGATGGGGACTCAGAGGTTTAAACATCCCCAGGGAAGCAGCTGTTGCCATGTTGAATGTGTTGGATGCCTGGGTGGAGTTGTTACATCTCTGGGAAGAACTCTGCCAAAATGGGTATAAGGAGAAACAGAAAACAAGAAAAGACCAAAGTAACATCCCCCCACACACACACCAAAGAAAAAGCTTTGGGCTTGAATGCTTTTACAAATGAGTTCTACCAGACTTTGAAGGATCACGTAATTCCTACCTTGTACAAATTGTTCCAGAAAATAGAGAAACATTAGCAGCCCGGCTCGTTTTCGGAGGCCGGTACGCCCATGATTCCACAGCCAGCTAAGGACGGTGAAGAACAGGGTGGCACAAAGCCACCTCGCTCCCAGCCCGAGTGCCTCGGCTCCCTGGGCCCCCCCCCGGGGGGGGGGGGGCTCCAGGACGTGCCACTGCGGGTGAAGGACCTCTCTGGGACAGGAGGTCCCTTACCAGGTCATTACATGGTGGAGGAGCCAACATTCGGCCCCACGGCAACTCTGCCATGATTGTCACCTTCTGCCACCATCACTACAGTTTATTTTGGGGGGCCTTGAGAGCGCTTCCGGAGACCCCGTGCCCCTTCCTGCTGCCCCTGCCCATCTGGAAGGGATTCCCACGGCATCCGTGAAACCCCTCCAGTTGTTTCAAACAGCAGATTGAATACGGGGGTTGGTCCCAAAAGTATCGGGAAGGCTGGGGCAGCCAACAGGGCCAGTAACCTGGCCGCCCAGGGGGCTAGAGGCACAAAAGGCCTCAGGGGCACCACCAAGTTCCCGGAAGTCGGCCCGTGCCTCTGCAGCAGCGGGAGCAGAAACGTTCTTCCAGCTTCCCACCCACTCCAGCTCTAGGGCCTCCTCCAGGCAGGACCCCACTGATCCCAGCCAGTGAGGGAGTCCGTGCCGGGCATCGGCGGGACAAGGGAGCACTCAGAAGGGCAAGTGTGGCATAGCAAGAGCAGACACCTGCCCCAGCGGCGATGTGGCCCTGGGGACTGGCTTTGTCCAGATGGTACGGACCAGACGAGACGTGGTCCCACACAAAGTAGTGAGTGTTGCCTCAGCGGCAGCAGGGGGCGCTGTACTCTAAACTGCGAAGGCCCAGGAGGGCATGTATTAGCCCGCAGGTCAGACGCGTGTTTACAGACACCAAGAATGAGTGAGTGAAACAGGTCAGACCAGTGGTTTCTCCAAGTGTGGTTCCCGGACCAGCAGCAACCCTGGGAACTTGCTGGAAATGCAGATTCCCAGGCCACACCCCAGGCTGAATTGGTGGTCCAAAGAGGCCGGCACGGCCCTTTAAGGACATGACCCAGAGGTTGTGCCATTGCCTCATTGGCCAGAGCTTCGTCACGTGGCTACACCCGGCAGCAAGGGAGGTTGGGAAACGTAGTCTTTATTCTGGGTGGTTGTGTGTCTGGCCAAAAATTCTATTACTGTAGAATTGTGATTCTCCGCCTCTGCTAGACTCTCCACCTTCACTAGACTCCCCGGGCTTCTCCGGAGAACCCAGAGGCAGACCCAAGTGTACTCAGGATGAGCTTAATATATAAGGATGGCCCCACAAAACAATGAGGGAAAAATAGATTGTTTAATAATAGTGTTGGGGAAATTGGTTCATTTTCTGGAGAAAAGAAAACGGGATCCCTACCTAACACCACAACAAAAGAACCCTAGATCTGTGCTTCCCGGGACAGTAGCCACCGATCACATGTGGCTATTTAATTTTAAATTAATGAGATAAAATGAAGCATTTCAGTCCCTTGGTGGCCCTAGTCACATTTCACATCCTCCACTGTCACTTTTAACCAGCGGCTATTAACTAGACGGTTTAGATAGGAGACCTTAACGTTATCTGAGTTTCCCTGGACAAGGTTTCTCTGATGGATTAAGCATCCTCTGAAAGACAAACTATAAAGGCGACAGAGGAAAATACTTGATGACCAGCAGTAGAGAAGGGCTTCTTAAAACTCCAATGGAACAAAATGTCGAAAAAAAAATTAAATATGTTAAAATGTAAAGTTTTGTTCAAGGAAAGACATCATGGGCAAATGTAATAGGCTTCAGAAAGAGAAAAAATATTTGCAGAGTCTAACATGGATCAGGTTTTTGTTTTTTGTTTTATTTTTAACAAGAAAAAGAGCAACCCAAATAGAAAAATGGGCAAAGGGTATAAACAGGCAACTTACAGAAGAAAAAAACTCAAAAGACCAACCAGGGTGTGCACAAGGGCTCAAACTCATTGGTAATTGGAGGAAGGCACATTTCAACAAGCTGTCATTCTACCACAAGTCTGGTAAAAATTCGAGTCTGGTTTAGTCGAATGGGGTATCGCACATATGCATCTCACAATAATTCTGCTCCTGGGTGCCTTCCCAAGGAAATCATGGGACCCTGTGGGCGCCCGCACAAGGATGTTCACTGCAGCGGTGTTTATGGGGTGGGAGCTGGAGGTGGCCTGGGTGTCCACTCTAGGGCAGCGAATGGGAGGCACAGGGACCACACGTCAAGGACTCCCATGCAGTCCTCAGGAGCCAGGGACCAAGTGTGCCCATGGGGAGGGAGAGCCAGACCAGTGATGGAGAAAGTAAAATCAAGATCTATGAGACCAGGCGACGTGTGTTGATTACAAATTAGAGACATAAAACAGAAATACCCGTTTTTCAAGATTAAAAAAAGGAGACTCATTTACATAATAGAACGGCTCCTGGTGGGGAAGAAGGGGTAGAGAAAGGGAATAAAGAGAAAGAATAAATGAACATGAGAGGGGTCTCGGGAGGAATAAAGGCCTTGAAGGTCATGCTGAAGGTCTGTCATACAAACAAAGGGCAACCCTCTTCGGTGTGGACTAGGGCCTGGTCACAGGTATTTAAATGAAAATTATCCAGGTGATTCTAACGTGCAGCCAGAATTGAGAACAGGAGCATGGCTGTGGGGGCCACCCCACACTTTGTCACTGTGTCACTGCTGGACTCAAACCTCCTGCCCACCTCCTGCCAATGCCCCAGAACTTACAAAGAGGGGCCCAGGAGAGCATCTCATGCCTTCCCCCATTTCAGAGATGCAAAAACAGGTCCACAGAGGGGAAGGACCTGCCCAGGGTCCTATGGCCTGGGAGGGCCAGGCCTAAAGTCTCAGGTCCCCCGGTAGTGTCTGTGGCGGGCCTTGAGCTGGGCTGCCGGGCTGCAACATTGAATAGGACGGACACGGTCCAAGGAGGCTCAGACCCCGATGCCCTAGGGCCAGGCGGGTAACATCAGGGAGCAGGAAAGTGGTGCCCCATGCGCCCCTCTGAAGCGCAGTCACTTCTCAGGTCACTGTGGCCTTGTGGAAGTTTGGCCCCCTGATGCCAAATGTCTGGATTTTTCTTTTTTGTTGTTTTTTTCATAAGAAATACCCATTTTCATGTGACAGCTCTTGAATCTGAAAGATAGGCAACCAACTCAGCACACTGAACCATATCACGTGGGCCCTGCAAAATCAAGGGAATAGCTAACCAACCTGAGGTCACACAGCCAGAAGGTGGAAGAGGCGGTATTTGAACCCAAGCACACGGGGCCCACGAGTCTCTGCACATCCCCACCAGGCTACAGCCTCCAGGACTGGGCAGGCCTCCCTTGCTAAGGCACCTGTGGGGACATAGGACCCAATAGGAAAGTGTCAACTCGACCAGGGCCATGCCCCAGAAAGGAAGCTCAGAGGAGGGACAGCACACGGGGTCCTGGCCTGTGCTTTGGGGAGGTGGGGACAGCTCACGGCCTTTCCCCGAGAAGACCAGAAGCATCTACAGAAGTTTGGGGCCCTGCTGGGTTAAACAAAGGTAAACTCTCTCCCTTTCTTCCTCCCTCCCTCTCTTCCCTGTTCCTTTATCTCTGAATTTCTGTCTTTCTCCCTTATTCTATCGCTTAATCACACTTAGTACTTGAGCCGGTAACCCAAACCCATGGTGCAAAATGCAAAAGATTCCAAAGGGGGTAAGTTGCAAAATCAACCTCCCTCCCTCCTACCCCCATTCCCAGCCTCTCAGTCCCCCTCCCCAGAGGCGGCCCCTGGTAGAAGTTTCTGGCTTCTCCTTCCAGAAATGTATGCAAGGACCAGGAAAGACCTACATGCATATGTAGATTGTGTCCCACTTTGCACAAATGTTCGCATAATGTCCACATCCTTCTACATCTTGCTTTTTCCTTCCTAACACTGTGTCTTGGTGGTGGTTCCTTGTTGGTAGGCCAACAGCCACCTCACTCCTGTTGGCGGCTATAGTATTCTTCCATGGAGCATGTGAGCCATGAGTTATGGAAACAGTCCCAGTCGATGGACCGCCAGGAAACTTGCAGCTGCTCACTGTTTTGAACAATGCCACAGTAGAGATCTTGCATATATTTTATATTTGGCACTTGGGCAAATTTATCTGGTGTACATACGCCTTGCCTCCTCCCCCGCCTGCCCCTGGACTCCACCCTGCCCTCTACCCTAGGTAATGCCCTCTCGGTATCTCTAACCTTCTAGATCCTTCCCCGCCTCTGGTCAACCTTGTCCCAGTCTCTGTCTTTCTCTTTCTTTGCTTTCCTCCCCACCATCCTCCTCTCCTCCTCTTCCTCTTTCCCTCTAACGCCCTCCCATTTCCCTCCTTCTCCCCTACCTCATCCCTGCCTCTCTGTCGCCCCCTGTAGGATGAAGCTGGCTCACCGCATCCTCCACCAGAACTTTGGGGTTTATATTTGGGGAAGGCAGCACCCAGCCCAGCTTATCTTTCTCCCATCCCCTACCCCCCTCCTGACCGGCTGGGCTTCCTCACCCCTGCAGCACTGGTGGAAAACCTACTATCTGCTTCCCAAAGCCCTCAGGTGCCTGCCCTCCAGAACCCCACCATTCTCTTTTTACCAGTAGGACTGGGTGCTGGGGCTGATACTGGTTTTTCAGTGGAAGCCATGGGAGCTACACTTGGGCAGCCTGGACGTGCTTCTTCAACCAGACAGAGCCTCCCCTCCTGCCTGAGGTTGGCCTTCTTGTCCTCCCTGCTCAGCAAACAGAGCAACCAGTCTTTGGTCAGACCTGATCTGGGGACAGACCAACAAACAAAAAAAAAACCCCAGACCCACCCAAGGCCCTGCCCTGGCAAGGCTGACATTCTCATGGGGTGACACAGTTCATGACAAGTGAACAGATCCACATACTCATAGGTATTTATAAATCATACTGAGCTCAAGACAGAAAGAACGGGGTGTGACAGTAGAGAATAGCAAGGGAAGGGGTAGGAAATTGCCCTTGGCTGGGGATTTATATTTATGTATAGCCAACAATCACAAGGTTATATTGTTGGGTAGAATAAAGCCAGAAGGGTGTGTGTTATGAAGAGGTGACATTTGAATGGAGATGAAGGCAGCCACGGAAGCACGGAGTGGAAGGCGGGGTAGGCAGCAGGGGCAGCATGTGCAAAGGCCCTGAGATACAAAGGAAGTTGGAAGATCAAGGACCCGCAAAAATACGGGACACCACGAATGAGGGGAGAGTGTGGGCCACTGCGGGTAGCCCTGTGGGGAGGAGTTAGCCCCAGCTTATATATGGGAAACTAAGGTTTGGAGAAGGAAAGCCCTTCACCCAAGGACACACGGGGACAGGGTGGGGACTGTTGAGCTCGGGCAGCCTAACTTACGCTCTGAACCACCAGGACAGTGGTTCTCAGTGTGGGATCCCAGAGCAGCATCACCTCTCGGCCCACCCCAGAACTACTGAATCAGAAACTCGGGAAACTCGGGGTGGGAACACGGTTTGGAGCTCAGCAGTCTGCGATTAACAAGCCTTCTAGAGGATTCTGACACACAGTCAAATTTGAGAACCACTGAGCCAGGCTCTCCCAAACGTTGTTCCTGTCCTCTGAGGGATCCCTGTCCACCGTGGGTTGAATGGTGGTCCCCAAAAAGATATGCCCACATCCTAATCCCCAGAACCTGTGAGTGCGACCTTACTTGGAAGGGTTTTAAGGAGAGCAGAGCCATGGCCAGACAGCTGAAAAGAGGGATCACCCCAGGAGTCAGATACTAGTATGAGGAGCCTGGACCCCAACCTGAGCCATCCTGCCCAGGGATGCAGACTCTGGGGGCCAGGCTGCCAGGATTCAAACCTCAGTTCTGCCACTTCCGGGCTGTGTGACCTTGGGCAAGTCATTTTACCTCTCTGTGCCCCAGTTCCCTCACACTAAAGTGGGCTTAATAATAACAATACCTACCATAGTGAGTGTGTTCGATTAATACACATGGAGCACAGGCACCCGGCTGGCTCAGTCAAGGGAGCAGGTGACTCTTGGTCCCGGGGTTGTGAGTTCGAGACCCATGTTGGGGGTAGAGATTACTTAAAAATATAATCTTAAAAAATAAAATACATGGAATAAATAGAGCAGTGCTTGGCCCAGAGTGAGCGCTTCATGATTGCTATTATTATTGTTACTGTTAGAGCTCATTGATTTCTTCACCTGGCGACACGGTGATGCCTCCCAGATCTGTGTCTGCACTCTGACCTCTCTCTGAACTCCCACCGTGTACATCCAGTCACCGCCTGGCACTGTCCCTTTGGATGTCCTGCGCTTAACACATCCTCGATGGAATGCTCCATTTCCCGCCCCCCCCAATGTGTTCTGCCCTCCGTCTTCCCCTCTCGCATAATGGGGCCACCTTCTGTCCACTGCTCAAGGCCAGTCACGAGGAGATCCTGGATCTGCCCTCTGCCAGGCACTCCATGACCCCACCCTGGTCCTGTCCACCCTCCTCTCCCTCCTCGCTGTTCCCCGGACCCCTCTCAGCCAGAGATCAGTTATGTTTCCTCCTTTCCCACCTTCCCTGAGATATCACTTAGAATGCATTATACCTACCTACCTACAAGATAAACCTATGCACTGCCCCATTGTCTTACTGATCGCATCTCCCCTACATTCCCTCTGCTCCGGCCTCCCTGCTGTTCCCCAAACACACTAAGCTTGGTCCCACCCCAGGGCCTTTGCACTTGCTGTTCCTGCTGCCTGGACGCTCAACTCTTTCCCCTTCTTCAGGTCTCCACTCAAACGTCACCTCCTCCGAGAAGCCCTCCCTAACTACCTTAGTTAAAACAGGCTTCCAGCTCCTTTTCTCTGTCCCCACAGCCTGTTCTTCACCTCCAAAGCAGTTGATACTGTTTGTCAATTAACCAGCTACCCCTTGACTTGTTGAAGTTGTCAATTAACCACTCCCTTCCTGCACAAGGCCAGAAGCCCCGAGGGGACAGGAAGCTGTCTGTTCTTTCACCATCATATCCCTGATGCACAGGGCTTGGTGATGTAAGTAATAGTATTACTTAATAAGTATTATTACTTATTATTCCTTAGTACTTAAGTATTTGTTTAAAGAATAAGAGGTAGAAAGACAATGGAAAACTAGGAATCCTTGTTTCCTGTCTCTATTTTTTCTTCACATGAATAGCAGCATATGAGGCCCACTGTTGGACATCTTGCTCTTTTCACTTAACAGGCTTGTATATATTTTCTTATTAGTATGGAGACAGAGTTGCTGTATTCTTTTTGTTTTGTTCCTTATTGAGGTATAACTTACATACAATAAAACACACCCATTTCAAATGGATAGCTTGGTGGGTTTTGACAAACGTATTATCCCATATAACCACCACCACCATGAACACAGAACTTCTGGGGCGCCTGGGTGGCTCAGTCGGTTAAGCATCTGACTTTGGCTCAGGTCATGGTCTTAGGGTCCTGGGATCGAGTCCCGTGTCTGTGCCCCATGTCTGCGCTCAGCATGGAGCGGAGTCCGCTTGTCGCACTGCAGCTCCCTCTACCCCTCCCCCTGTGCTCCTGCTGTCTCTCTCTCTCTCTCTCTGCGCATGGGAGAGAGACAGAGAGAGAGAGAGCACAAGCCAGGGGGAGGAGCAGAAGGAGAGGAAGAAGCAGACTCCCCATAGAGCAGGGAGCCCGATGTGGGGCTCGATCCCAGGACTCCAAGATTATGACCTGAGCGGAAGGCAGATGCTTAACCGACTGAGCCACCCAGATGCCCCCTTAATAAATAAAATCTTAAAAAAAAAAAAAAAGAATGAATGAACTTCCTCATCTCCCCAGAAAGCCCACCTCCCACCCCGTGCCTCTTTGCAGTTGACACCTTCCCCCGGCCTGCACCTCCCCGAGTCCAGGGAACCACTGACCTCCTTTCTTGGATTCTAGATGTCCGCTGCCTTTTCCAGCATTCTCCCTGAATGGAAGCACAGAGCCCATGCACTTTTTGGCTTGGCTTTTGTCACTGCACGACGGTGTTTGGTTTCAGGCAAGGGCTTGTATGTTTGAATACCTGGTTCCTTTGTCTTACTGAAAGATAGTGTGGACGCGGCACGACTTCATCATCTTGTTGATGGACCCTCGTGTTGGTTCTTGGTCTGGCACCGGTAGGAAAAAGTGTTACGTGCGCGCCTTTGTGTGGACATGTGCTTCCATTTCTCGCTAAATCCTGGGAGCGGTGGAACGGCCACCGTGCAAGATGGGAGGGCATCTGGTTTTTTGTTTTTGTCTGTTTTTTTAACTACTCTCTACACCCAACACTGAGCTTGATCAAGATCAAGAGTCACCCACTCCCCGGACTGAACCAGCCAGGTGCCCCGGATATCTGGTTTTGTAAGAAATTGTCAAATTGTTTTCCCAACTGGTCCCACGATTGCTCATGCTCTGAATGCTTCGTGACCCATGAGAGGTGGCTTTGGGGAGTGGTGCTACGTCGGTCACCCAGGCCTCAGCCTGTTCAGAAAACAGGTCCCCACACCAGGACCTTCACCACTTGAAGGTGAAAGGAGGGGATGTTTGAGATCCACTTGGCTTTGTGCCCCCAATTCCTCAGATTTAAGTAACAATGTTTCCCATAGTATGGCAGGCGCAGGAGAGATGCTTCTGAAATTTTCCATTCTGGGGCCCATAGGGACCGAGGCTGACTCCTGGCAGTGGGACTGGGGAAGACACATTTTGAGTGAGCATCCTGGGTGAGTCTGACATGCTGTAAAGCTTGGGACCACTGAGTCTGGGTTAGGGGTGGCGGGGGGTAGGTGAGAGGAAAAGTCATTCCAGGTAGAAAGAACTTTGGGTGCAAAATGCCTGAGATGGGAGAGAACAGGTCAGGGAAGCAGGGACCAGAAATCCAGGCCTCGAATGGCAGCCAAAGAGAAGGGATTAGTCTCCTGAGGGTACTGGGGAGCCATGGTGGGTTTAAGTGGGGGAGTGACTGCTTGGGTTTGGGCTCTTGTAAGGCCCCTGTGACTGCCATCTGTGCGTGTGTGTGTGTGTGTGTGTGTGATATAGAAGGGGGTGAGGACCCCAGGAAGATGATGGGAAATGTGGTGTGGAAACCGTGGCAAGCCGGGGGGGAGGGGACAGGCAGAGGAGGGGTGTGGACCCCATTCTGCACACTCCTTGCTCCAGGCCACTCCCTGCCTTGGATTCTGACCTGGGGACAACCAACTCCCCTCAGCAGACACCCCTGCTCTGGCTCTGCCCCCTTCTTCCTCCTCCTCCCTCGCCCCTCTTCCTGCTGCTCAGGCTCCTGCGAGGACAGGTGGGCTGGCGGCCAGATATGGGTGTGTGCTTGTGTGCTTGTGTGCTTGCAGCAGCCAGGGGAGTGTCTCCAGCTCTACGTGTGCTCTGAGCTCGCTGAGTGTTTGTCTGGGAGTCTCCTGGGACTTCCTGGTGCATCTGGGCTGCACTGGGTGAGTTACTAAACCTCTCTGTGCCGGTTTCCTCATTGGCAAAATGGGTATAGCAATAGTATCTATTTCCTTTTTTTTTTTTTTTAAAGATTTTATTTATTTATTTGAAAGAGAGAGAGAATGAGAGACAGAGAGCACGAGCGGGAAGAGGGTCAGAGGGAGAAGCAGACCCCCCCGCTGAGCAGGGAGCCCGATGCGGGACTCGATCCTGGGACTCCAGGATCATGACCTGAGCCGAAGGCAGTCGCTTAACCAACTGAGCCACCCAGGCGCCCCTCATTGTGGGTTTTTTTTTTTTTTAAGATTTTATTCATTTATTTGAGACAGAGAGAATGAGAGAGACAGAGAGCACATGAGAGGGGGGAGGGTCAGAGGCAGAAGCAGGCTCCCCGCCGAGCAGGGAGCCCGATGCGGGACTCGATCACGGGACTCCAGGATCATGACCTGAGCCGAAGGCAGTCGCTTAACCGACTGAGCCACCCAGGCGCCCAAGAGTATCTATTTCCTAGGGAGGATGTGGAGATGGAGTTAATTACTCAGAGCCATGCCTGCACACAGGCAGCCCTCAATTATATGAGCAGCATCATTGGGCTGTGAGCTCAACTCAGTGTCCCGGGCATGTGTCTGTCGTTGGCATCTTGCAGGAATCTGGGGCAGGAAGTGCCCCTGGAAGCATCGACGGTTATCTGGGGCAGCATGGGAGCAGGCCTGCGAGGGCGGCCTCTCTTTCCTTCTCTGTGCAATGGGAATAACTACAGCACCCCACACACGGGCGGTTGGTCCGCGGGCGAGCCGGGCGCTGGAGGGCGTGTTTGCGTGCGCGGCTGCTATTACCTTTCCTTTGTCGATGAAGTGCAGCAGATAGTGGGGCCCACCCCCGTCGTCTCTGTTGCTGGAGGATGACACGAGCTGGTAAGCACCTAGAACAGCACCCAGTACCCAGAAAGCACTCCCTGTGGAGGCTGCCATTGGAACTCGGCGCCTGCGCTTGCCTGGGCCGGGTGTGGGGTGTGGGATGTGGGGTGTGGGATGTGGCCCAGTTAGGAGGCGGCCGTGGGCATCTGGCCCTACAGGTTCCTCGTCACCCCACTTCCTCCACACCCCGACCTCTTGCCCCACCATTGCCCCATCCCTCACCCCCAAATCCCCAGGACCTCTGAGGGCAGAGGCTTTGGCAGCTGTGCCCTCTGCCCCAGCCCCGGGAAGGGGTACAGACACCCCCCAAAACCCAGGTGGGGTTACTGTTCCCCTCTCTGCTGCTATCTCAGTGCCTCCCTGGGGTCCCCCATCTCTGTGCCTCTGAGTGTCTCTCTGCCCTCCACTTTGGTTTCCAGAACAGGAAATGTCAGGGTCCCAAGGGGGTGTCCCACGTGAGGAAGCAGGAGGCAGGACCTCCCCCCTCCTCCTAGATGAGAGTGGGGGTGGGGGAAAGAGGGGGTCTTCCTTAATGAACCTCTTAATCCTGCCATGCCGGATCTTAATGAGGGGGAGGGACCTCATTAGAGGGCAGGGAGCCCTGACATTAGCTCCTCGTCATAGACCCCTCTCCCAGGGCCAATGCCTGGGCCCTCAGCTGGCCCTGGGGAAAATGGGGCAGGAGGCTTGGGAAACCGAAGGGGGGGCTGGGGGCCCGGACTCCTGGGTCCTGGAGGAGGGGACAACCTGCACTCCTGGGTCTGACGGAGCAGGGAGCTGGGGACCCGGACTGCTAAGTCTGAGGGTGGAGGGCCCGGGGGCCCGGAGCCTTCCCCTAACACACCCCCCTCTCCAACGCCCCGCCCCTCCCGCCTCCAGTTAACCCCAAGCCTGCGTAGGAGCCAGGGACAGTCGCCTGGAGCCCACGGATGGAGGAGGAGGGCGACCGACACGCGCTCGGCGGCGGGATGGAGGCCGACGAGCCCGCCAGCCCCCGGGAGCCGCCGTCGCCCCCCCCGCCGCCGTCGCCGCCGTCCCCCGCGGCCCCCGATACCCCCGGGCCCCCCCAGCCCGAGCAGCCGTCGGAGGCCTACGCGCGGCAGCTGCTGCTGGAGGAGTGGAGGCCCCCCGGCGGGACCCTCGAGCTGCCCCCGCGCCTCACCTGGAAGCTGCTCTTCCTGCGGCGGCCGCTCTACCGCAACCTGCTCCGCTCGCCCAACCCCGAAGGTGCGGGAAGGTGCGGGACGCGGCGCGGCACCCCGACAGACCGCCGCCCGGTCTCCGCCTTCCGCCGCGCGCGGTTCACTCGGACCGTCTGTCTCCTCATCTTTCTGTCTGCTCCCTCTACATCCTTCCCTGTCTCTTCTGTCATTGTACCCCTCTCCGGCTCCTTGCGGCTCTCTCTTCCCACCCCGCATTGCCCTCTCTCTCTTTCTGTGTCATATGTCCCTGTCTGTTTCTCCCGGTGTCTCTCTGCCTTACCCTGTATGTCTACCTCTCTCTCCCTGCCTCCCTCCCTGCCTGCATTTCTGTCTCTTTCTGTAGGTGCCGCTTGCTTTGTCCCTCTGTCTCTGTCTCACCAGGACGCCCTCCTCCTCCTTCCCTCCTTCTTCACTGCACCATCCCTTCCGCCCCAGGACATTCTCAGGACTCTCCCAGGGCCCTGACTCACACATCCCTGCCAGGCAGGTCTGGCCTGGTGCAGATTCCTACCCGTCAGCAGAGCCCTGGGGGGAGGGAGGCAGGCGGAGGCTGAAGGGCTGGAGGCGGTTTCAGCCACTGAGGCTCCATTCACCCGTGCATTTCAGGCATCAACATTTATGAGCCAGCACCCCCTACTGGTCCCACCCAGCAGCCCCTGGAGACCCTGGGTAAGTGCTTGCTGGCTGGGCCCAAGGGGACGGAGTGGTCCTGGGGAATGGGCATGTTCTAACCCTCTGCTCCTCCACCTGCCAGGCAACTTCCGCGGGTGGTACATTAGGACTGAGAAGCTCCAGAATGACCGCAGGTATGTGGTCAGGACCCCTGGGGCCCTGCTCCAGCTTCTCACTGCAGAGCCTAGAGACACTGACTGTGTGCCCCTCTGGGCCTCAGTTTCCTGCTCCGTACCAGGGTTTGTCATAAAAGAGAACGCTTGTAAAACACAGCACAGGCTCTGGCTGGGTCCAGCTTGCATATAGTAGGTGCTCAATAAATAGCAGCTATCGCGGTTACTATTCTCCACCTCTTTCCCTGGGAGGGGGAGTCACCCAGGCCACCATCTATCCTCCATTAAACCGAGCCCTGCTTCTGCACGTTGGGTGAGACGGTGTAATTCAAGGGCTGGGCTGGGAGCCCAGCTCTGCCACTTCTTCGCTGCTGGACCTTAGGCAAGCGACTTCCCTTCTTGAGCCTCTGTTGCTCATCTGCATCATGGCGTTCAGACAGTCTGGCCCTCAGAGGGGAATGGAGGGAGCTGAGGCTATAAGGTGGGGAGTAAATGCTCAGCACCCATACATGGTGCTTGATGTCCCTACGAGGGCACCATGATCGAGGTTTCCTGCTCCCAAGAATCCCAGCCGGTCCCAGACCTCACCTCCCCGTGCCCTCTCCCGCAGCTGGACGGTGAAGCAGCAGTGCGTGGATCTTCTGGCCGAGGGCCTGTGGGAGGAGCTCCTTGATGATGAGCAGCCAGACATCACGATCATGGACTGGTACGCGCCTCTGCCCGGTCAGCCTGCCCCGCCGGGTCACGCACAGGGCTCCCCAAAGCGCGAGCCTCACCTGTCCTCCCTCCCCTGGTGTGAGCTGGTCACCAAGACCCTCCTGCCACGGCAGGATCCAGCCCTGCCTACCGTTCTAGCCCCTTCCCTCTGAGACTTCCGGCTTCTGAGATGTGCCGGGCTGGACACTCGTCCCTTCGTTCTTGGATGCTTGTCACCCTCTGTTCTCGAAACAAATTCCTCCTTATCCTCTGGGATTCTGCTACACGTGGCTCCACCAGGAAGCCTTGCCTGACCACCCCCATGCTGGGTCAGATGCAGCATGCTCCAGTGCCCTGGACTTCCCCCATCGCAGCCCTTAGTATTCCGGATGGTCACTGTCTGGTGACAGGTGGGCCTCAGACTATGTGACTCCCATGAGGGCTCCGCGGGGGGCCATAGTGGTCACTTGGTCAGTGCCGGGTGCACAGAGCGGGAGCCAGCGAGTGTGCCTTGTATGGCACTTAGGGCCAGGGGCCATGGGCACTTCGGTGGCAGCTGATGGCCTGGACCCCACCCCTAGGTACGAGGACAGCCGGCTGGACGCATGTGTCTACGAGCTGCACGTCTGGCTGCTGGCGGCTGACCGACACACGGTCATCGCGCAACACCACGTGGCCCCCCACACCTCTGGGCGGGGCCCCCCCGGCTGCTGGCTGCAGGTGAGGCTCTGGCCACGAAGCCACCACGTGTTCATGACCCAAGACCTCAGAGAGGGCGGAGGTAGGAGATGAGGGTTCCCGGGTCCCTGATGGCACTTCTCCCTCACCCCGGCTGCCGCCGCAGGTGTCCCACGTCTTCCGCCAGTATGGCCCCGGCGTGCGCTTCGTCCACTTCCTGCACAAGACCAAGAACCGGAGGGAGCCCGGCGGGCTGCGGCGGACAAGGGTGACCAATTCCTCCGTGTCTGTGCAGTTCAGGGAGTGACTGGCTCTTCAACTTCTCCCCGAGCTAGTGCTCGACAGACACTCCTCCCATTTCCCCTCCCCCTCCAACCCCAAATTCTCACCCCGCCTAGAGCTGTCCCCATACCTCTCCTCCCTACAATACCCTCATTTCTCCTCCCTCATTCCTCCAGAGTCCCCAAAGCCATCAGGGTACCCATCAAGGGCCATCATCACTGAGGATGGTGACGGGACAGATGGCAAATTTGAGCTAAAAGTTTTTTCGTGTGTTGGGGAAAGAAAGATTGAAAGTCTTTAATAACCCGTAAGTTCCGGGCCAGATCAAGCAAGAGACCCTGGTCTTAGCCTGGGGCAGGGTCCTAGAAGGCCTCTTGCTGTTCCAGGCCTGACTCCTCAGGGAGGCTGGAGGTCCCTGGCAGGCCAGAACAGCTGGCATTGGGGGGCATTCGTGGGGAAGGGCTATCTACCAAAAAGTGCGGGAAGCATTTTAATGTTTAAACAATCAGCCAGTGGTATTACTGCATGTCACAAACGTGTCCTGTGGATGTGTGTCTTTTTGTGCCCACCTAAATCCATGGCCAAATCTCTGAGTACGGCCCCACCTCCAGCATTGTCCCAGGTATGGGCTGATGCAGGCCGGACCAACCTGCTCTCTCCCCAACCCCACCCTGTCCTATGTGGACTTAGGTCCCAAGCACGAGTAGATGGCAGATGGATAACTTCAAAAGGGCTATATTGCAGGGAAGGTGCGGGGCGGGGTGGGGGGGGTGGGTTGGGGCAGGCAGAAAGTTCTCTCCTCCTGGGAGTTGGGGCCTTCAGCAGACCCCAGTGATAAGGCCAGGTGAGGGGCTCTGCACCCTGTGGGGGTTGAAGATGAAGTATCTTTATGGCATCAGTAACACCTGCAACAGAATAAAAATTATCACCAGGGGGTTGCCAGGGGCTCAGAGATCCAGGGTGTGGGGGAGGGGGGTTCTAAAAGGCTGACATGGGGTGGAGGGCTGGGGCTGGGCTGCAAGTTCAGGAACTAGGCATCCTGGGGGCTCTTGGAGCTCTTGTGGAGGGAGAGGGACGGGTGAGGTGGTTTTGGAGAGTGCTAGGACTAGATTTAGGGTCCCACGGTCTGTGAGCTCCCACAGGTGAGTGCACAGTGGGCTGGAGGGGCAAAGTTGGATCTGGGGGGCTCCAGAACCTTAACAGGGACTTTGGGACTGGTTTCCAGGGCTACCTCTGATCTAGAGGGTCTACGTGGGTGGGGGGCATGAGGGTAGATAGGGTGTTCCTAGAACTGGGTCTGGAGTCTTGTGGTGGGTCAGCTTAGAGTCTGGGAGTCCCAGAGCTGGCTCTGGTGGCTCCGGGAACTGGGACGACTGGCTTTGGTTCTGGGGGCTCCAGGGTGAGAGGACTGATGGCTCCCCATCCCCAAGCTAGGCCTAGGACTGCAGCTCTGGGTAGATCGGCAGGTGGAGGATTCAGGAAGGTGGGAGGCAGGTGCTCCCAGAATGGAGGCTAGGGGGCTAGGGGGTGAGGTCAGCTTCTGAGTCTGGGAATCCCAGAGTTGGGTTCCAGAGATCCGAGGGCCATGGGCTTGGGGGAGGGGGTGCGGGGAGGAGGAGGGTCCGGGACCTCCAGGATTGATTCTAGGGACTCCCAGTGCGGGGTCAGGGGCCGAGGGGCCTGGGGGCCCGGGTTCGCGCCGCGGACGCGGAGGCGGGGCTGCGGGCGGAGGCGGGGCCGGGCGGGCACCTGCAGTAGAGCGACGCGATGGTGTTGGACCAGTCGCCGAAGATGCCCTTGCGGAACTCTTCGAGGCGCGGGTAGACGCCGGTGGAGAACTTGCGCGACTTGCCGGCCTTGCCGCGTTTGGACCACACGGTGATCTCGCAGCGCGGGGCCACCACGAGCGAGGAGATGATGTTCGTCCAGTCCGAGGGCAGGAAGGGCAGGTCGGTGCCCGGCTCCAGCGACAGCTCGGCGCCCCCGCAGCAGTTGTTGTAGTAGGGGTCGCTCTTGTCGTAGAGCCTGGCGCACATGCGCGTCCCGTCGGGCTTCTTGAGGTCCGCGGGCTGCGGGCAGGCCGCTCGGACGCCGGGGACGGCCGCCAGGACCAGGGCCAGCAGCAGGGGGCACAGCGGGGACATGGCGACACTGCGGGGCCGCGTCCCGGCGCGCTTTTATGCACCTGACCCGTGGGAAGGGAGAAGCTGCGAGATAAGGACGCGCTCCCCACCCTACCCCCACCTCACCCCCGCCCCCCCACCCCTCCCGGGGCGGGAAACCTTTCTAACCTAGGTCAGAGACCCACAGCCAATGAACACAAGACCGATATACTTGTGTACAAACTTAGCAGCTTAAGATTTCACGTGGCAAACAACATTATAAAAAAAAGTCAACAGGACTTGAGAACGAGTCTCTTGCAGTACAGAAGGCAGATAGGGTTAATAGTATACTTACCAAGAGCTCTCAAAAACTGACAGGGATTGGAACAACCCCCTTTCCAAATAAAGAGAGGCCAACGGAGGAGGAGGGGGAGGGGGCTGGGTCTCCAGGCTTGGCAAGTCCCCTCGTCCCACGCAGAACCTTGGGAAAGGAGAAGCTGGAGATAAGGAGGGAGAGGCCCAGGAGGGGAAGGCAGAGGAGGGGAGGAGATGAGAGAGATCCCGCTCCCCTCAGGAGCAGGAGAGAGCTTCCCAACCAAGGTTGGAAACCCAGAATCTGTGAAATAGACATATTTGCACAACACTCAAAAACCATTGTAAGGGGCGCCTGGGTGGCTCAGTTGGTTAAGCGACTGCCTTCGGCTCAGGTCATGATCCTGGAGTCCCGGGATCGAGTCCCACATCGGGCTACCTGCTCGGCAGGGAGTCTGCTTCTCCCTCTCCCGCTCCCCCCTCTTGTGCTCTTTCTCTCTCTCACTCTCTCTCTCAAATAAATAAATAAAATCTTTAAAAAACAAAAACCAAAAAACCATTGTAAGGCAATGTCCAAAAGGCTTGGGGAAAAACTTGCAATACTTGAGACAGGATATAATTAATAGCTATAATATATAAAGAGTGCTTATAAATCGTGGAGAAGAGATCAAACAATCCCCCACCCTGCCACCCCCAAGAAAGACAAGCCTTGGAGGGGGAGAGGGAAGGAAGAGGAGGCTGCCATCCCCCTACTCCCACTTCTCAGGAGCCAGGAGATTTTCTTAACGAAGATTGGAAATCTTGAATTTATAACATAAACAGAGGACCTATCGAGCTGTAGAAAATGTAAACCTGGGCGCCTGGGTGGCTCAGTTGGTTAAGCGACTGCCTTCAGCTCAGGTCATGATCCCAGGGTCCTGGGATCGAGCCCCACATCGGGCTCCCTGCTCTGTGGGGAGCCTGCTTCTCCCTCTCCCACTCCCCCTGCTTGTGTTCCCTCTCTCGCTGTGTCTCTCTCTGTCAAATAAATAAATAAAATCTTTAAAAAAAAAAAAAAGAAAGAAAATGTAAACCTTTTGTACAGCAACAAACACAGACTAAACAAAAACCTAACCTGGGGAAAAATAGACAATTCTTTTTTTTTTTTTTTAAGATTTTATTTATTTATTTGACAGAGAGAGAGACAGCGAGAGAGGGAACATAAGCAGGGGAGGTGGGAGAGGGAGAAGCAGGCTTCCCACCGAGCAGGGAGCCCGATGCGGGGCTCGATCCCAGGACCCTGGGATCATGACCTGAGCCGAAGGCAGACGCTTAACGACTGAGCACCCAGGCGCCCCAAAAATAGACAATTCTTGTAACATACAATAAGCAGTTACCAATCAGCAAGCAAAAATGACACAAGCCAAAGGAAAAATTGAGGAGCAGCCCAGGACGGATAAAGAGGCTGGGACCTCAGAGTAGGACAGGAAGCTGGGCATCTTGGGAGCCCGGCCAAGGCCCTTTGGAGACTCTTCGGAGTTCCTAGCCTCCTTCCAGATGAGCACCGAGTCAGGCATGGATGAACCAATCAGACAAACAGTGGTTCAAGTCTGTGGCTCTGTGGGTAAGGCCAAATCTGGGCCTCAGTTTCCTCATCTGTAAAATGGATGATATTTTCTTCCTATACTATAGGATTGTTATGAAGATTACCGGGGATAATGGAAAGTACACGGGGAATGGGGCAAAGGAACGGCCTCTGGAGCCAGGCTGTCTGGGGCCAAATCCCAACTCCTCCTTGAGCTGTCTGCACCTGATTCCACCCCCGGGCTTTAGGGAGACAATGATGGTATCCATCTCAGGATGCTGGTATAAGGGGTGAGTTAAGCCACATGTCAGCACAATAGTAGGGCCCTTGCCAAGTGCCATGTGAGCATTTGCCAACACTGTTGTTATGCGGGCCCTTGGCGTGGTGCTCAGTAAACACAAAGCAGCACAACACAGCATCAGCAACAATCTGCTGTTACCCCCTCCTCCTACCCCGGATGCTGCCTCCCGCCTTGGCCAGAGTAATGCAGTAGTGAAGAGCCAAAGGCTGGAAACATTTGGAAGTAGGTTCACATTTTGACTCTGTCACCTTGCTGAGTGACATCAGGCAAGTGAATTCACCTCTCCGAGAGCTTCGGTCTCCTCCTACCTTCAGTGGGATAACAGAAAATGATAACAGAAAATTAAAGAAAAAAAAGAAAAAAAATTAAAAAAAAAAAGAAAAGAAAAAGAAAATGATAACAGAAAATTATTATATAACTAAATCTAGAACTGGGAGGCCTGGGTGGCTCTGTTGGGTAGGCATCTGACTTTGGCTCAGGTCACAATCCCAGGGTCCTGGGATCGAGCCCCCACGTTGGGCCCCCCAGTCAGCAGGGAGTCTGCTTGAAGATTTCTCTCCCTCTCCTCTGCCCCTCCCCCTGCTCGTGCTGTCTCTCTCTCTCTCAAACAAATAAAATCCTTAAAAAAAGAAATCTATAACTGACAGACTAAAATATGATTCATAAACATTAGGAACAATCCACATCATTGCTATTTATAAATATAAATACTTAATATTTCATACTGAATGAAAACAGTATCCATATAAATATATAAAGCACCAAGTACAGTGCCTGGTACATGGAAGATGCTCCATAAACAGGAGCTGCTATGACTGTTCTATGATTCTGAGACCCTGGATCCTGGCCTGGCCCTGTCGCAAACCAGACCTGGATCCTTCTCCCTCCTTCCACGAAATCTAATCTCCAGCCGCTAACTTCCCAGCCAGCCTCCTTGACCTCAGGGGCACAGAGCTCTCACCCTTCTAGCTCTGCCAGCCCTGGACTCAGGGACGGAGACAGGTAAGTGTAATGTGGGTGGAAAGGGCCATGAGCATCAGACACTGTAGCAACACGGGGCAGCAAGGAGACTCTGATAGGGAGAAGATTCAGCGACAGAACACAGGACCCAGGGGGCCACAGCACGTAGCCAGCATCAGAGAGAACCCATGGAGACCCAGGGCGAGCGCACAGCATCCCCAATCGAGGGACACATACATGGGCAGGTGGGTAGGGACATCCCTGTACCACAGTCAACCACTGAGGGTCACTGAGTCTCACTCGTGGGTCCTAGAGAACAGCACGCACTGAGTGTAGACACATGCTCGGTACACACAGTCCAAGAGAAACACGGTCCCAAATAATGCGCCCCCCCCCACAGAAACACACCCACCATCACCAACGAGCCCCTAGCCCTCAACTACTCCCACCCTACACCCCATGAAATCTCAAAAGCACAAAAACCCATACACACATCTGTCACGCCAGAGGGAGCACCCACAAGGCATCTTCGTCCAGAAGCAATTCCTTTACTGTTCATTAACACAAACTGGGCAAATAGTAGAAACATAAACATCTCCTTTTTTTTTTTCATTTTTTTCTTCAAAAAATGTTAGAATGTCCTGCCCTTGAGGAACCCGTGAGCCTTTGAGAAAGTCAGACGATAAATCAATAATTCAAACACAATGTGAAAAAGAGTTAAAATAGGGGCATGGCAAAGGACTCTGGGAATATAGTGGGAAGAATAGCAGGGTTTCTTTAATATCTGCTGATATATTTTGATTCATATAATAAGGAAAAAAATCTTCAGATCGCACAGCCTTAATTCCACATTTTCCACAAGACCATAAAAAAGATTGATATGCCAATGAAATTGCCACTAGTAGAAAAATAAAATATTCGTCTCAATTAGGGCAGTACCTGAACATAAACAACATTATAGGTGGCACATAGTTTAAATGAAAATGCACTCTGTTGCATAAATACAGGAAAATATTCACATCAGTCCTTAAGTTCACACCGGATCATGGGAACTCACTACACTTCTGCATCGATATGGCACTGAATGGGATTATTTCTAAATAATCCTTAAGGGCTAATATGACCCTCCAAAGCAGCCATAACTGTGTGGTTTGGAAATAGTGATTCTAGAAGTGTGGTCTCTAGATCAATGGCATTGGCATCCCCTGGGGACTTGTTAGAGATGCAAATTCTGCGCGCCTGGGTGGCTCAGTTGGTTAAGCATCTGCCTTTGGCTCAGGTCATGATCCCAGGGTCCTGGGATCCAGCGCGCCCCCCCCCCCCGCCCCCGCATTGCCCAGTGGGGAGTCTGCTTCCCACTCTGCCCCTCCCTCCGCTTGTGTGCTCTCTCTCAAAAATAAATAAATTTAAAAAAATGCAAATTCTCTGCCTCACCCAAGTTGTTTGAAGTAGAAACTCTAAGGGTGGGGCTCAACAATTTGTGTTTTAAATGCCCTCCTGGGGATTCGATACCTGCTGGAGTTTGAGAACCACTGGGTTAAGGCATTGGTCTTCTAAGGTTTCCTATGTCACTGATTGCTTATTGCATCTAGAATTTTCTGTATTGACACCTCAATTTGCTCAGCTCCTATAAAATGGTGTTTCAAATAACTTTCCTTTGGGGCGCCTGGGTGGCTCAGTCGGTTAAGCGACTGCCTTCGGCTCAGGTCATGATCCTGGAGTCCCGGGATCGAGTCCCGGGATCGAGTCCCGCATCGGGCTCCCTGCTCGGCGGGGAGTCTGCTTCTCCATCTGACCCTCCTCCCTCTCATGCTCTCTGTCTCTCATTGTCTCTCTCGCAAATAAATAAATAAAATCTTTAAAAAAAAATTAAATCAAATAATTTTCCTGATTAAAACTAATTCCATTAGCAATGGAAAAAGGGACAGGTCTTGGAAGTCCCAGGTGGAGCCTCGTAAGATAATGCCTGGAACGCAAATGCTTCAATTGAACTTGAATCTTCTCCAACACAGACAAAAGGTCAGTCATCACCTAACTTCAGGACGCGGCTGAAGACCGTTTACTCAGATACACCTGCCCCAGATGAGGCGCCTTGTTTCCAGGTCTCCCCGGGTCCCATGGCCCCCTAGTGGTCTAGGCCAGAGCTACTCCCCCTTCACTGCGCCGCAAATCCCTTGGGGCGGGGAGGGTCTTGTAAGATACAGATGCCCATTCAGCAGGTCTGGGTTAAGGATCTAGGTTCTGCATTTCCTGCGAGCTCCCAGGTGCTGTCAGGCTGCTGGGGGCCACTGAGTAAGTGGCTAAGTGGCTCTCCCAGCTGAGACGGATATAGCAAGGATACAGCTGCAAATCAGGCACCTGCCACCAGGAGGGCGAGGCAGGAATTCAGAGGTGGGCAAGGCCAAGGAGACGCCAGAGAGCGGTTGTGATTGAGAGAAAACTCCACTGACATTTCTGGAGGAAGCCTGTGGAGGAAGCGAAGTCTGAAACTGCTCGGGGCTGGAACAGCTTTGGCCCACGAGTCCCTGCGGGTGCAGGTGCAGGTCCAGGTGCGGATGCGGGTGCGGGTGCGGAGGCCAGGGCGCTGTGAAACCCTCCGCGGAGCCCGAAGCCTGGCGGGGCTTCGCCGGCCTCCCTCCGGGTTAGGGGAGGCTGGGAGCCCTCGCGAGGTGGCGCCAGAGCACGGAGATTCCTCCGGCGGGCTGGGCGTGCTGGAGCCTAGGTTCAAATCCCGCCTTTGCCATTTACGTGCCCCGTGAACTTGGGCACGTTGAACAACCTTTGTAAGCTTCAGCTTCCTCGTGTGTGAAGTGGGGCTAATACACACTAGTTATAGCTACGTGTCCCTTTTTATTGCTTGTATTAGTCATTGGAACATTTTTTTTTCTTGATCAGTTTTAAGATATAACTGCAACCGTTTTACTAGTCTTTTCAAGTTACCGACGATAATCAATGTTTAGTTGTGTAGATTCCTCTCTATTGCATATGTGGTTTTTTGTTTAATTTGATCTGCGTTAATAAGAATAGCATTAGTTTCTATTGTGCATTTGGATTCTTTTCTTTCTTTCATTCTACTTTGAATTTTTGTGTGTGTGTGCCATTCTCGTCCTAGCATTTGAGATAGATGTTTAGGTTGCTTATATTCA